AAATCCTTCTGTCCAGTAACAGTGCCTTCTAGCTACCTCAGATATAACTCCCTGTCACTTGTTAGGAACAGATTAAAAATTGCGGTTTCACAAATATCCTCCTGCTGTTAAAAAAAAATTAAATGACTAATTTGTAACAAGTTATTCACAAAATTGAAAGTCTTCTTCATATCCCATAAAACAACTTCATCATTAAATTAAGGAGATTACCATATTAAATCACATACACAAACAAACATGAAATCATTTATTATTCTAAGAAAATCCAAACACACTCTAGGGAATTAGCAGGAAGAAAAGCAGCTGCATAATCTGTTAGTATGTGCAGGTAAGCACCTAAACTTCATTAAAACACTAATTCAACAAGTAAAAGGTTACACTTGCAGTGAATTTATTTTTTACCTACAAGTAACTATAAAGAAAAAGGAAACAAAATTTTAATAGAGCTTTCTTCACAGTGTAGAATTCATATCTAGTGTAATAATGCTTCTTTTTAAATGACTTTGTACAGTTATGAAATATCCCGTATGAAGGAGGAATTAGGCCAAACAAAGAAAGTCATTTGACCATTTAACTTCAGAAGCATGCCAAAGGAAAATCCTGCATGTATCATAAAATGTTGCTTTATCTGGGATAAAGGTAACCAAAGAATTTTGTAGGAAAAAAAACAAAACAAAAAAAAAAAAAACACACACACACAGGGGAGAGGGAGAGGTGGAGGACAAAATCAGATTAAAAAAATAGAAACTAGTTATATGAAATACTGGTATTACTAATAGTGTGCATTTCCATTTTTGCACCTCCCTGATTTCTTGACTAACAGCTCAGTTTCAGCATATCCTGATTAAAATCTTTTCCTTAACTTCCACAGTATTATTTTACTCATGCTTCTTCTTAGATTGCTCTTCTCACCTAACTTCAATCAAAATGAATCAGAGACACATAGTTCCAAGTCAGTTGTATCAAATGCTTTTTTCAGTAGGACACTGAACCTGGCAAACACATACTTGCCCTTCGATAGCAGAAAAAGAGTACTCTCAGTATTATTACTGTCCAACTATATCCAACTATGATGTGTGAGCTACTTCCCATTTTCATTTAAAACTTCAGTAAGCCTTGCTTTTATCATGCATAAAACTGGACCACTTTCTTTAATTCTATTTTCTGATGACTTCTAAGCTACAAGTGCCATGACTGCAAAGTCTTCTCTCATTCTATTAATCTCTTATTTTATTGTCTCCAATTTTTTCTATTGTATTATCTTAATTTAAAAATCACTTAAAATTCCAAAGCAATTATCTTTTCAGCATTTTTATTGCATCATGCTAAAGTATTAGTTTACAATGAATGTCCTAGACAGTTCTTTGGAGGGAATGCCCTGTGTATTCTTTTGATCAAGAAAATTTTCTTGATTTTCTTTTCAAAGTAAATTTCTTTGGGAGGCTACACATCAGCTCCTACAAATTTCAAATCTTTATTCTTTATTATTCATGAGGTTGTTTTTTAAATTAGATTAAAATTTCATACACAGAATACTGTGTATGTAAAAACGCTCTAAATTTTTGCACTCAGTATTTATCAGCACTCTCAATTTCTATTAAAATTGGCTTTCATATGCTGAGAAATACATTCCATATTGGAGAGGAACTAAGCTTGAAAAACACATTATGACCAGAAAGGTAAGGAGGAATAATTATTATTTTAAAAAATACGAAAAATAAACATACAACCACACAAGAGAAATAATAATGGAGCACAGTGTTCCATTCTGCACAACAGCCTACAAGATGTATCAGACCCAAAATATAAGAAAACCCAATGTTGATGTTAGCTATAGTATGCTCAAGTACCACAGTGCTTCCCTGTACCTGCCGTATACAGCTACTAGAGTGAACATGAAAACATAGAATTAATAATCAGATTAGAATCAAGGACACTCATTCCTACCTAAGATGAAAGCAGATAGCTAAATCAGATGACTACAATAGCAATTAGTAATGAAAACTTCATGTTAATTAAGCAATAGAACCTGTTAGGTCATCTTAATTATGAATGCTAAGTTCTGATTTGAGGCATAAAACACAGTGGGAGATTAATAGCGGCACAGTAGAATTCTGAATTTATATCACTCTATTCACAGTACGCTTGTCTTGAATGGTGACTGTCATACTTAGGTGTAAGAACACAGTTATTTTGTGTTATGGTGTTTGTTTTTCCTTCTAAGTATGTTCAGCTTGGACAGACACAATAGTAAGTCAGGTATACCAAAGTAAAGTTTTTTGTTCCTCTGTACAGTACATTTTATAACAGGACTTCACAAAATATTCACTGCTCATTACTGATAAATTTTTCTATACCAATTTGATTACTATGAATGATTATGCAAGCAAAATATGATGATATGATGTTGGTATGCTAACGAGAGAGTTAAATATGCCTATAGAAAATAGCTTTAAGCCAGTAAACTTTAAAAGTGGGAAATCTATGAATTACTAAAAATAAAATATTAAATTTAATTAAATGTCAGAATTAAATTGACAGTTCTAACTCTGGCATGATGTCTAAGCTGATCTACATATGGTGGAAATCTTGGAGGAAGAACAACATAACTCAAATACCAACTGAGCATATAAATTCTGTGATCCAAAAGTGACTGATTTTAATACCACTTGAAACCAATTGCAGTTGCTTGTGGTTTCTACTCAGAGAAATATATACCTTAGGTTTTCATTTGGCAAATTCTCTGCTTTCAGATGGTAAAGGGCTTTTTTTTTTTTTTTTTTTTTTTTTTTTTGACTCAAACCAAAGCCATTTTGATACTGTTTTTCTGGATAAACTGCCTCCATTAGCAACCAATGAAAATAAAACAACTTTTCCAGATCAGCCTGTATGACTATAATAGAGTATTCCTTAGCAGCAATCAATACCTGTGCACAGCCTTTAATTCCTCGGTGTATTTCTGACTTAAAATACATATTAACTACAGTGAAATGAAAGTTGAATTTGTCTAACCTAACAACTATTGACAGTCAATAAAATGACTTTATTCCACTGAGTACAGAAAGAACTTTGTGCAAAGAGATCATGGCATACATTTATGTCTTCTCAAACTAGGTCTTTTAAAATTTATTTGTTTATACCTTTTCTGCTTCTAAGAACTAGATCATACCCCTTAAAACTTGTCAAAATTCTTTGCCTTTAAAAATACTTTAAATTCTATTTGCATATCTCAAGTATCTAAAACTAATGTAATCAACTAAAAAAGTAAATGTAATCAAATTACATTTTGATGCTTCACCTCCATAAACAATCTCCATAAAATATTTGTCACAATTAGTATGAATGCTCGGTTCTTGTGGTGACTACAGAAAGCATTCAGAATTACAAAGAGGGCTGTTAAGGGTCAAGAAAAGAATCCCATATGTTTTTCATGCATTTCTTCATCTTTTTCTATCCTGAGAGAAAGCATTGCTGTAATGTACAGTCTCATGCAGTAACATGCTAGCAATAATAAGCTTCTGCATCACAACACAATCTTTTCTAAGAATGTCACTTTCTTTATAGCACCACAAAAAACAAAACCATGAGAATTGGCTCCTGGAATTCTATTCCAGTTTTTATCACTCTGTGATTTTACTGCCCACAGCCCAGTGTTTTGATAATGTAACTGCTGCTACTGATCTTGGTAACCATTAAAATGTTTGAGGACTATCAAATTGTGATCAGTGCCTAAAATATACAACTTCAATGAGTGAGATGAATTGCTACAATTTTTTCTTTGAAAAAGATAAAAATCAAGGAATTACAGTATTAATGCAAACAAGAAAGCACAAAACAATGCCTTCAAATCATAGTCAGTAGCCCTACATGAACTACATGCATCCATCAAACATTTCAAGAATTTGGGGGGACGAACTTGCTTATTTGGAATTACATAGAGAAAAGAACAATTGATCTTTACAGATTCCATAATATAACACTTTAAAAGCGCAGCATAATTAAACTCTTACATAGATTAATCTTAAAATGTTTCCAATTTTTATATTAAATACTACATATGAAGAAAAACAGATGAAAAAAAAATTAAACAGGATAATTTTCTAAAAACAAGGCAAAAAGAAAATTAACTTATAAAAATACATATTTTCATTTATTATCTAATATCTATAAAATCTTAAAATCTTATCAGAAACAGCTGTTCACAAAATTACTTGTTACATGGCTCACATAACACAATCTATATAGTTACTATATAACTAACATATCTATCTTCAAGAATTTTTTTTTCAAATGGAATATTAAATGTTTTCTAAAATTCTAAAAAGCAGTAGAATTCTATAAGCAAAGATGTTACAAATCAGAAATCGAGTTATTCCAATTAATTTGAAAATTAAAATAGTTCTAATATAGGATATGTTTCAAATAAATCTATTCCTTTTAGCACCACATTAGATTTAATTCCAACAAATAAATAAAGGCAGAGAGTTACTGAAAACTCAGCAATGAAAGTTTATCTGGATGAAAGTGATTTTCATTTTTGGGAACTGAACAGAGACTGGAGAATAACAGCAGTGAAAGAAAACAAAGATATAAAAACATATTTAAGTCAGTGCATAGAAACTGGAAAAACAAAATTCTTTGTAATTTTTATAAATTATATTTTAAAAAAGAATCAAGCAGAAATGAAACAAAAAACATTATTAAAGAGCAACCTAAATGAATAATAGAAAATATAAAGAAAGAGACTGTGATTTAGCTTCATTTTGGCTGGGATTTGACATGATGCTACACAAATAGTATGTAATTATTTTCACCAATAACATGTTTTCAGCCTGTAGAATATGAAATTAAAACCCCAGTTATTGCCTAAATAATAATCACAATAATATTTGGACCTATGCCTCAAAAAAATTTATAGTCACAGAGATTAAAAATTGAGATGATGGGAGATATATTCACAAGCACATACAAAAAGAGTAGCTAAACAGTGATATTCATACCGTCATAAATCCATCCAGCAAACCTGAATCAGGTTTAGGAGGTGCTTGCAATCGCTCCATAGACCACTTTTCAATGATAGATGACACTTGGCTATTTTCCGTGTTTAAAATTCTGAATCCTGTCATATTAACTCCACTATACCGATATGGTTCCACATCTAAGGCAAACAGGTCCTGAAAAAAATAAACATTACATGAATATTTTGATACACTGCATTTTCATCTTTGAGACTGAGATGCAATACTACACTTGCTGTATATATAAGGAAATATGTTCTGTTTATTTGGAGGACTGCACATTTCAGATAACTCAGCCAACCAGCAGTCCCAGTTCACAGAAGAAGAGCAACTTCAATTATGATTAATGACTTCTATTTTCTTCTTTTGGTCCACGATGTCAGAGGCAGATTTTGGTGGTATGGCAATAGAGACTGAACTTTCACACCAATATTCTATTAAATTTTGTTGGAGTGTAACAGGTGAAATCACAAAGGAAGTCTGACAAAATAGTGTCTGACATGGAAATGCACATGAAAAGGCAAGAGGATTAATTGAAATCCTCCATGTTGAAAAAAAGGCATCCACTGACATATCTCGATACTTGCTGAATGTTTATAGATACCGAACAGTGGATGTTAGTACAGTGACATGATGGGTGGTACACTTTAGCAGTGGAGGCAATGGTGTGAAAGACAAGCCACGTCACGGATGGTCATGCAGGTTTTCATGAGTGCAGCATTCAGATTCTTTTTCACCACTAGCAAAAACGCATAGCAAATGATGGTGAATATTTTGAAAAACAGTGCTTTGTATCTGTGAATTTACTCTATCAAATGGTGGTGTATGCTTTGTATCTGTTGTAGTTTCCACATAAACAAACAGGAGACATTACTTTCTGAGCAGCCTAAGTATTCCTACTCTAATAATAGAAAAGCTCCAAGTAGGCATAAATATTATAACTAATCAGTAAACACCTTTTTTTTTTTTTTTTTTTTTTTTTTAATTTTTGGCTTACCAGAAACAGTCTGTTACATGATAAACAGAACAGACTTACTACATTTTCCCTTTGAATGAAAGTTATTTATCTTTAGACATTTAAATGAGAGGAGGGAAAAGGGAGACTGCACATGGCCTGCACCTTTTGCAGCTTTTGATCACAGCTTAAATTTAACCAAAGTATTCTTCGTATCTACTAATCATGCTTGCAAACACAGACCTGTTCTTGATTAGGAATTTCTCTCTACAACTGTGACATTTGCCAATTGATTAAATTTCAATATTTGATGAACAAAATATCCGTGACTCATTTGGTTTAGCTAAGCACATTAAATGAATTTTCATTTGGTTTATTTCTTGGCTTTCCTGTTTCCTTTTAAATAATTTTTTAAAGTGACATAATGAGACATTACTGGCAAGCAACATATTCCTAGTTTCACTGAAGATAGAAACTGTCTAAACTTTATCTTTAATTTCCTTTTTAATTTGCTCTTTGCTTATAGTTTAGTATAGTTTAAATTTCCATGAAATAGTCATTTATTTGTAATATTTCCCTGAATACAATTTTTTACTGATTAGAACTGAAGAAAATATAATATTGTACTATGGAAAACCAGAACATAATTCAATATTATATGTTAAGAAATATGTTAGAATATGAAATATGTTAGCACTAATTTGTCTAAAAATCAACCACAGATGCCAGGCGCTATTTTCAACTAGAAGTAGTAATTATGATACCATTTTCTACATATGACACTTGATTTATATAGGGGTCAAATGTTTTGTATTTATAAATAACCTAACTCATTCCCACTTTTTAAAGAAATAATTTTTTTTTTTTTTTCAAATGAAAGACTGACCAGAACAACGTTTCATCATTCTCTCAATTTTTGCTTTGAAAAAAACTCAGATGCAATGGTTTACCCCAAGTACATTCATGTTTACACTGGAATATAATAAATATACAAAACAATATTATATTCATATATTACAAATACACACAGGTTGGTGCATTAATCAGCTAGTGCATTAGACCCTGAATCAATCATGGGAGAGTACACACCAGACTGCTATAAACACTGTGGCTGGAAAATTTATTTGACAGCACTTTCAACATGTCAGGTAAGAAGCAATTAATATATCAAAATAAGTAATTTCTGATGCAAGCTCCAAAGCCTAACTGCAAAATCAGAACCTATAATCTGTCTATGCAAATTAAATTATTGTTTGATAGCACCAAATGAATATAGTCCTTATCGCTCCTAAAAAAGCAAATGTTATAATATGGAAACAAGAATGACAGAAAATCTGATTTTTTAAAAATGACTTCAGAATAATAATAATGTGCTAATGGACAGCATACAACTCAAATATGCAATTTTCATCAAAACATCAAAATAAAATTTAACACAAACTGAAATTCCGAGACTAATGAAGGAAAATGAATTTGCACGCGATCCCAAATCCATGATATCACAACTTGCCATTCTATAATGAGAGGTATTTGTGCAGAGCCTTAACAGTTCCAATGAACTTCAGAATTTACTTTGTTTTCTATTCAAAAAGCTATTTCCATATTAATACTTCTGATAAACTCATTTTGTAATGCTGAGATGAACTGTCTATCCTACCACAAAGGATTCATTTTACTTAGGACTTAAACATGAATGACATTAAACATTGGTCATTTCAAGTATAGTTTTACCAAGTCACTTCTTCCTCATGTTTGAAATGGCTTGTGTTGTAAAATCATTAATGAACTGTAAAAGGAAAACAGAGAAATATACACAACTCTGTTATCTACTTAACTCTATTTGGAAGTTTAAAACTGTAGTACTAAAGAGTCAGACATTTACTCAGAAATGCCACTTTCCAGGGCACATTGTTGAACAATAATTAAATCATCTCGATGAGTTTTAACTGAAAGAAAGAAAACTCAACAGAGAAAAAATAATGTACTCACACTTCATTCCACAAACTTTTTTTCTTGATTTGTCAGATAACACAATTAAGGAAAGTAACAACTTTGCTAGATGTCATCCATATGCGGTTATAAGCCACTTACCAGTGTGGTAAAGATATAGTGATAGTATTCCGTCATCATTCCCATAGCTAAAGCCTTAAAAAAAAAAAAAAAAAAAAAGATGAATGTTTCTGTGTTAACATAATGACTTTCAACACACTTACACTGCAAATGAAAAGCTGCAGAAGAAGACCGGGTTGGAACTGTACTAAAATTAGGTCCAGCAAGTCATTTCCTAGCAGTTAGAGCAGATTACTGACTATTAAAGAAGTTTATGAACCAGATCATCTGATACAAAGAGTACTATTAGAATGTTTAGAGCTGTAAATTGGAAAGAGGCTTATAGTTTTACATACGAATGGCTGCATTAACTTGCCACACAAAATCTCAATTGACAATATTTCATTCGTTATTGAGCCCCCTCATCTCCTTAAAAAGAATAACCTAACAGGAATTTTTTTTTCCTATTTTAATTATTGGCATTATGCATTTAGAACAAGGACCCAAGCATATACTTCAAGTGTACACATTTTTTCCAACCATGAAAGAAAATACTCTCCATGTAAATTTTTACTAGCAAGATACATAGTGTTTCATCATCTTCATCTGCTGTGCTGTCTATGTGATAACAAATAGTTTCTCATAAGCTGTGCACTTTAAAAGGTTCATTTTTTTTTTTAACTTGTAAAAAGAAAATCTGCAAATATTTATTTTAAAGCAATAAGCTAGAAATATCTCATCACTGCATCATATGCTCCTTCACCTGAAGAGCATGTATGGATGCACAATATCTTCTCACTCTCCACAAAAGCTTCTGGAGTCTAGTACTATTTATGTAAACATTTTAGTATTTGACAGTTTGTTTTCTTTTTTACCTCACTTTAGCACTTTAAAAAAAAAAAAAAAAAAAGCTACACAAATACAGAATATTTTTCTCCTTTCCAGGAATTACAAAGATAATTCTTTGCCAATTTTCTACCAGTTAAACCTTCTTAAATATGCTGAAGGCAATAATTATACAATTGTAATAATAGTGAAATTTGTATACAAAAGAGATATTTGAAGGCTGTGCGAACTTTACTTGTGGCATTGTCTAAGAAAGGAATAAATGACTAGTCTGTATGTTCTTTTTCAAACAAAAGTGAAAAGCTAAAACAAATTTGAAATAGCAGCTGCAGAACAGAGCTTTTAGCTTTGACAAGAGTGGCAAAAATTGTAACACTTTTTCAAAGGATGTCTTTGCCTGTATTAGAACTGTAGTACAGTCTACCAACAGCAATTTGAATTCTGTTAAACACAGGAAAAACCATTATCTTATGAGAAATATCCCAACTCCAGTAGAAACCTTACAACACCAAACACTGTTAGCATTTTTGTTTTTTGCTCTAGTAAGGTCCCATAAATGGCTGTTTACACTCAAGGATTTCACTCTCCAAGCAACCTCTCCATAAGAATATTTTAAATATCTCCACAAGAAAATTTTAAATACTGTCTGCTTTCCCTGGTTGCCTGGTGATGTAATAACTATTGAGATTTGCCTTGATAGAATCACATCATATCAATGGCGAGTTTTTTATTTTTTTTATGAAGTATTATTGGCCAGAAAAAAGTAGTTGTCATGCTTTTTTTTTTTTTTTTTTTTTTTTTTTTTTTTTTTTCAAATTTGAAAGCAGAAGTCATGTTCAGCAGAACTACCAATTTTAGACACTTCTAAAACACTGCAATAATGAAGCTGGATGGAAAACTAAAAGATTACAAAAAAAAAAAAAAAAAAATTGAGGAGTTGTTCCTGTAACCTCTTTTTACATTCTTCAGGACAAGTGGAGTAGCCTGATAAAACAGTTCAGAATTTGATTTAAAGAAGTTGCATGCTTATTCTCAGATCTTAGAACATGATTAAATATGGAATGGTTTTCATTTTCTTCCCATTTCTCTCAACTCATACTTTTTCTTCCCCAATTTTGTATGAAATAAAAGTTTCTTTTCACGTAAAAAAATATGAGGTACAGTATATATAATAATGTGCACTGATTGAGTTATTTGTGTAGTACTGCATCTTTGTACTGTTATTAATACATATTTTCTATCTGCATTTTTAAGATTTTAGAGGAATTAAATATACATTTAATAATTTGGGCTAAACAATTGGACTAATTACGCTGCATTACATTAAGTGAAAACCAGAACTGTCAGCAGATATTAAAACATCTAAGAATTAATGAAAGAATCTTAATCAACACACAATAAAGCAAAATGATCGTAGGCGTGTTTACCTGCTGTTTTTACCTGCTTTTTTAATTGTACCCACAGCCGTACCCTAAGGTACCATTAACAAGAGATCTTTTTTCAAATCTTAAAGAATGTATTTACTGTTTTTGAACTAAACGATACAATATGCTAGCATACATAATATGAATGCAAATTGCAGTCACTAAAAAGCTGTGCATTAGAAATGTAGAGCACTGTTTTGTTTCAGGTATGTTTCCTAACCTAATTGCAAGTCATAGCTCAAATAAAAAACTTAGAGAAAAAACGGTCTAAGGAACTGCAAGTCTTTGGGGCTAAGAATTCTAAGCCTTTGGGGCTAGCTCACTACATTAAAGAAGATATACAAAGGCATGCATTTATTGCACACCTCAGGATTACTGGCAGCTTTTTTTACAAGCTCCTTTTTTTTTTTTAATATAGTCTTTCTTATATTGCCATATTCTCTTCAGTGACAGCATTGGAATATGCTTCAGCAATAAAAACACTGTATTTGGGATTCTGCTATCTCTTGCCTACTCATCTTACACAACAGAGCAAACACTTTGAAAGCATCTGCCCGAATGTATTCAGGTCCTTCACAGTCTTGTTAGTAAAGGAGGAGAATATGGCTCTAAAAATACCAATTAGTTCTGTCCTTCCAGAGGACTACACTAATATGCTAGTTTAATAGCATACTATTCCAATATTACTACCTGGTTAAAAGTACACAATTTAAAAGCTTTAACTGGAATATGTATATATACATATATATAATAACTCTAAGCAAGTATTTAAAAGCTCAAGGCATTAATTCTCTAAAATACCAAGGCGTACCTTTTCGCAGTGAAGTGCACTGTGAAATACCTTTCCTCCCCCCTCACAGACAAATCAAGCTGTTTCTTTAAAAAAAAAAAAAGCTATCATTACAGGTGCCAATAAAATTATCTCTAAAATCCTTGGCTGATTTTCAGTTAGGCCTCAGTAAAACTAACATACAATTTAACTGCTTGTTAAAAGCCATTAAGACTGGATATTAGTTTCATTTATTAGGAATGAAGAAGATTAGGTCATCTAAAGCAAAATGAGGATTACCTGTTTCAAGATGCCTGCTGCCATTTCATGGCTGCAGTCAAAGATGACATGGAATTCCTTTCCTCTTTTCATCTCCTTTAACAATGGCTTTGCATCTTTTGTGTCAGCTGGTAACTGACGGATTTTTAGTCTCAGGTTATATCGTGATGGAGCCTTGATGAGCTCTTGTAATCGAATAAGGCCTTAAAGAAAACAGAGGAATCAAAGAAAAGAAAATTATCAAAACAGGAACCTGAGTCGCTAGCAGAGCAACTTACTACAAACATTGAAAAATTTCTGAATTTCTCTCCTTTTTCAGGTTGCTGCAGCTGATACAGAGAAATGTATTTAAAAAAAAAAAAAAAAAAGTATCTATACTCCATGTGCTTTCCTATCACAAGCCTTTCCTTAATCTTAGCTGACAGTAAGTACTTTCAGTTCGTATCTTAAGACAAATTTTCCCTCATGGAACTATAATACCGCTCCTCAAAGAATTATTATTTTAATTCAGTTAAAGTGACATTCCAGACTAATTGCTTATAGTCAGACTAGATAATCTCTTAACTAATCTATTCAGTCTTGATACAAAGTTGTAGAACACTTCAATATTACACAACATCATCGTGTAATCCACGATAGTACTCAATTTTTCTTTTTTTGTTTATACAGGTAACAGCACAAAAGCAGCAGTGAAGAGGATGACTAATGCCTTTGTAGTCCTCTTCAATACTTCACAATTCCATTTTAGATTACTAAACTTTCACTATGAAAGTAGATGCAGTAATATTTTCCCCAAAATCTTCTTGTTCATACCAAGACAGCAAATGGTGTGATATAGAGACCATTGATTGGTCTGTGACCAATACTGAAAATTAGGTTGTTCAACTGTCTTCAAACAACAGGATAAAGACAGGTCTTTCATAAAGTAGCAGTTTATTTCAGCACTAGCAAAAAAGATGTGCTAACCATCTTTTTGCATTGGAGGGTACTCTGCTTAATGGCAGTAAAAGAGTTACTGTTCTTATTGTTTCCAAACTAGGTGCAGTTTGGTGTACACACTGAACTATCAAAAAAAAAAAAAAAAAAAAAAAAAAAAAAAGAATAGAACCTCTGCTTAGTATTTCCTCTAATCAGGGCCTCTAAAATTTGAGATAGCTCACTTTACTGCATCAAAAAAATCTAATGGAAATTACTAATTATTATTTAATTATCATCACAGGCACATCATCTAATATATATACTGCATTTTGAATTATTCCTAAATATTCTTCCTGGTTAAAACTGAATGTCAAAGCTGCCTTGATTTCATAAAAAATATGTAATAAAGCATGAAAACACACTACAGTTTCAGCAAGAAGTGGTGATAAGCTCTGCAATACAGAGACTTTATTTTTGTTTTGGCGCATATTCTTTTTCCAAAATACATTTTTTTTTGGTAAATGACATAACACTGAAAGCCTTTAACAACATAATATTTCAATGAGGCTTTTGTCATGATGCTTTTAGACTGCAAAACATCCTTAGCTCTAATAATTTTCAACTGAATCAGACACATAGATAAAACATCTGAAAAACAAAATCAGACACTTATTTCATCATTCCACCTCTTTTGACCCTGCAAAGGATCGACATTATTTTCATAATACTGCTGGAATTAGCTGGAACTGGAATTATAGCTTATTATATGAAATCTTCCCAAATTAAGACCTCAGGTTGTAAACCTGGCATAGGAATTCAATAGATCTTTCAGGCCCAAAAGCAGCACTGAAATGGATAGAGGTATTTTCTGAATCAATTCAAAGTTTTAAACAGTCCACACAAATGCATCTTGGTTGAGGGATTCATGAAGAAGATAGAAACAGCAACTCTCAGGGCAACAGACCATTAATTTAGCTCTTGGTTGGCTGTGTAGGTCAAGCTTGCTATGCAGTTAATTTAAGAAATGTTTTGTCACAGGTCTACATCATGGATACAACATTTCATCACAGATTTTTGGTAACACTCCTAGAACACACACACACATTCAATCTGAAACAATTGTTCCTATAGCTAAATAACCTATGAAATTTCTAATTTCAGTGAAATATTTGTATAGGATCTTCATTAACAACAAGCATTGTGAAGAAATAAACCCAGAAAATTCAGTATGTGCTGATTATCTTCTTAAAAAACACGTGAAAAATGATAGCATTTTTCTGCATAAGAGTATGCCAAAATTTAAGGTCAGAGCAAAATATTCTAGCTCAAGAAGGATGAAAAATAATTCCATATGTTCCAAATTATTTATAATAGCTTATTTGAAACAGTAAATTGGAAACTTTTTAACAATAATAATTTTGACTCACATTACACTATAACTGGTGTGTCTAATTTTAGGTTTGTCTTGTTTTGCTTACTTCATATTTTTTTCCATTCTGCCTTGAAAAGAAAATAAAAGTCAACTTTAACGAACCACAGAAACATCACTACACTTGTTGACAATCTTCAGCAGAGATGCTGAAGGCAGAACAGATATTATTTGACCTGGTCTCATAAATAGATCTCGTCCATCCTTGCTAAGACAAAAAGAATAGAATATAGTGGCCTCCATGTAAATGGCAGATATGAGCCTACATGATTGTGAAAACAGTAATTTTAGAAACAATAATTTGAATAAACCTTGCCACGCTTACCTCAAATGCTATACTGGTATTTAGAGAAAATGAATCAACGCACTTAATTGAAACTTAAATGGATTTGATGCTTGATTTCCAAATGCCTCCACTAAATAAACATGAGGTATCTTAAAGTTGGACTGGATGATCCTGTAGGCCTTTTCCATTCTTGGTAATTCCATGATTCTTGATTCTATGATGTTCTCTTCACACTGGTGACAGGTGAGACAAGGGGAAACAGCCTCAAGTGGGACCAGGGAAGGTTTAAGTTAGATATCAGGAAAAACTTCCTTTCAGAAAGGGTTGTTAAGCACTGGAATAGGCTCCCCATTGAGGAGGTGGAGTCACCATGAATGTGTTTAAACACTGTTTGGATGTGGTGCTTAGGGACATGATTTAGCAGTGGGTTGTTAGTTAGGATAGTATGGTTATGTTGCAGTAAGACTTGATGATCTTGAATGTCTTTTCCAACCTGAGAAATTCTGTGATTCCATCTTGAAGAGTTGTATTTTTTGTTTTTTTATTTTGTTTTTGCTTTGTTGTTGTTTAACTGAAAAGATCATGCATCTACTACAGATTATCATATTCAGATGATCTAGTACAATTGTTCAAAAGTAAAGCTTTGACATAAAACAATCTAGCATATACTACTGCCATTAATGACTCTATCAAAAATAATAGACAATACTATGACAGCAAAAACACTTAGGGTTGCCTCCAAGCCTGTCCAGTTCTTTAAGGCTAAAAACATAAAGCAACTTGAATGTGTGCTCTTGAAATGAAAACAGTAAGATGATTTCAGACTGACAGAAGGGTAGCATTTCAAAGCTGTGATTTTTTTCAAAGGTAAAGTCCTGCCAGTTTCTCACTCGCTTTGATTTCTATGCAATTCCACTTAAGAACTCCAACAAATCTGGGACAGATAGTATGACACACTCCTGTTGAAAAGAAAAAAAAAAAAACCTGGCATTTGATACTCAGTAGTTAAATATGACCAAGAAGACAGACAGAAAACCACCCTTCTAAATAAAGTTACTTCAAATCAAATAGTGCTGCAAAATGTGCTGCCATATAAGCATCTGATATGCAAGCTGTCGAGTCTATAAACTAGAGACATAGATCTACTTGAACTATTACATCACGCTGAAAGAGAAAAAGTTAAAAAAAAAAAAAAAAAAAAAAAAAAAAGGCAGGTGAAGGGATGAAGCTGTGAAGCTGGAAAGGGGTGAATACAAATGTACAGGCCTTATAATTCTGAGAGATTCAGATAGCAAAAGGGACTTTGGGAATGAGCTGGATTTGAACATACAAGCAATATTTAGTGGAAAAAGTGCTGCACTGCACCAAACATCTGCTATAAACATTGATTCCTTGCAGTAGATCTTAACAACTGGAAGCCATGCTGAGTATGGGAGATCAGTCAAGACATCATGAAGCTTGCAAAAACAGATTTATGCCATGTAGGAAAGAGATGACAATCAGTTTCACATGTCAGGAATCAGTATCTCAAGGGGAAAGTGTTTTTCTCAAAAAATTCAAATTCAGCATTTATTAAATACCAAAGTTTAGAAGGAAATCTGATTGTTCTTGACTGCAACTGTTCTTTTAAAACACTGTTTACTTAGAAGGGCAAAGTACCTAACGTATTTGAAGTAGTTATACTGTTCACTGAAGATGAAGACAGTGAGGACAGTTAATGTTGGAAAAAAATGTTAAAATGGAAGAAATGAAGGAAGAGAGTGGCTGCTTTTCTGTTACATGTCCATAGGCTCTGAAATTTTAGTAAGCAAATTCAGGGAATTATAAAGCAAACTGTTCCTTAATGTCTTGCAGAAACTATCAGAGGAACCTGAACATGGGCAAAGGGGGACAGAAAACCTGCAGATGCACACCTCTGTAGTGCGCTGACTGGGTCTCATTGCTGGAGTAGTACAGGAATGCCTGAAAACACACGAATAAATATTTATGGCTTCATAACTGCTAGGACACACAAACTGTAATGAACAAATTTTTCAAAATATATTTTAAAGAAAAGGAAATTTGAGACACAGTACTCTTGCTCACAATTTCTATGTATATCACAATATTTAATTCTAGTAACGTTTAATTCCAATTAACATTTAATGTGTTCGAGCCACTGGTAGCATTCATTAAGTTCAAATGAATTATGCAGGGCACAAAATATGTTTCAGTCTATTAACTTTGGTAGTCCACTCAGCCACCCAGCGGGCCATCTGCTAACAAGGAATATTTGTTCATCCTCATCCATACTTAAAAAGCAATTCCACACTGGCATGAATTCAGCAGCTCCAGTTTGCCAGGTTCCCTCAGGAAGGCTGTCAGAAAGCATAACCCCAGGTGAGGCAGGGTGACCACTGCACATGCCCCCCAGGCACACAGTACATGGCATGACAGGGGCAGTGACGGTGACATTATGTCATGGCTGGCACTGCTACAGTTGCCCTACAGCTTCATACTACAGAGGAACGCCTCACAGAACAAAATCTGCATTTTGATGAGCATACCTGCATCTAATGCTTTTATTAGGC